TCGAACTGCTCATTGTCACCCAGTTGCTCGCAAAGCACGTGTAAGATATCATCTGGAAGTGCTGGGGCCATATTGTATGTTCTGTTGATGAGGGCTGACACAACTCCGCGCGACATGGGGGGGCAGAATCACTTCTCGTGACGTAGACGCTAGCTCCATCCGGACGACGCGCTCCACGAATGCACATGCTTCACCTCGTCCACACCTTCCCCGCACCTATGCATTAAGCCGGTGCAGACGGGCAGCCATGATACATGATGGTAGTTCTCAACTTCACCCTGACGCCTGAAGCGGCGGCCAAGGTTCATGACCTGCTCGTCTGCCTCGGAAAATTCAGCGACACAGTGGCCATCGAGGCGCGTCGCGAACGAGTAGGTCTATTTCTTCCTCTCTGTTAATATCGTCTCATTTTCCCTCATAGTTCATCTTCACTGCGCTCAATTCCTCAAAATCCGCGTATGCCGCCTTGACCCTCGATGGCAAGCAGTTCTTCTCCAGCTATGAGTGTGTGCCCAGCCACGGCGGCCCAGACGGGCGGTTCACGTGCAGCATGTATACCAAGGCTCTTCTTTCTGTGTTCAAAGGGCGCCTGTATGACCCGCTAGGCCGCGACGGTGCGATCGACCGATGCGAGGTTAGTGTTCAGGATCGCGAAGATGAGACGCAGTGCCGCTTCATCGTCAAGATGGTGTGCAACCAAGGCGTCATCAAGACCTACAAGCTCACATACGAGGCTGTGGACGTCATGCACGCCTTGTTCGACCGCAACGTGGCGAGGAACCGATGGAGCATGAACGCAGGCGTCATGAAGGAGTATATCGAGTTCTTCGGCACCAAGACAGAAATGCTGGACATCTTTGCTGGCGAAGACGGACGTGCCGTATTCAAAAGCTACACGGAGAAAATCGCAAACGGCAAAGAGATCCTGAAGCATCCCCTCGTAACTGCCGTTGCGGTCAACACGTCCGATTTCGAGGAATTCAATGTTCAGCCTGGATGCCATATCATCATCAGCGTGAAAGATTTCAAGGCGATCGTCATACATGCAGATACCATGAAAACGAGCTTGAAAGCGTTCTATTCGCATCCTACCCGTCCTTTGCAGTTCAGCTACGGCTGCGACGGTCTGCTCTGCGAGTTCACGCTCATGACTTCAGGCGACTACAACGGCGCTACCGCACTGCCGACACCCGCCCCAGCTGCCCAGGTATCCAGAGGGGCATCACTTGCAGCATCTGCGGCTACATCAGATGCTCGCGAGAACCGGAGCATGCGTCCACCAGTCGAACCCCCTTCACGGCGCCCTCCTCGCCGCCAGGTGGGTTCGCGCCAGGCAGCGCTCCCTAACCGACCACCGCAGGACCCGGAGAGTCTGTTTGTGAACGAAGATGAGGAGGAAGATACCCAGTGGGAGCCTGCGGATTACAACAACGAGGAGGAAGCGCTCGGCTGGGATGCCAGCGCTGATAGAAACGCGGGCAACTTTCCTACCTTCCAGGACAGCGGAAGCTTCTCCAGGCCAGACGGGGTGCAGAGCAATACAGACAGCATGGAAGGGATCGCGCCAACGCAAAGGGTATCGCAGGTTAAGGGCTTGTGGTAGGCGAATGAACGCAGTTCTATTCTTACGTCGGGCTTTTTATAGCTATCGAAGTAGTTTTACCCAGAGTGTACTGAATAGACGAGCATTGGAGAGTCAGACTTGATTGGTTGCAAAGTTAAAATATGCATACCAACGACCGTGTAGTCTTGCTAGGACTCGGCCCTGTGTAGGAAGATACCTAACATACATTGGAGAGAGATATAGAGTACGGCCAGACACTGCCGTGACAAGACCCATGCTCGAATGTGATACCTGACAGCGCTCACAAATGTGTATCTGAAAACCCAAAATATCTATACAACGCCACCATAACAAACCCAAACAATGCCACGAAAAGCAACCCGATGATCTCCGGCCCCGGCGTCCCTAACGCTCGGCATCCAAAGCAACGGAGTTAGAATATATGTTAATTCGCATCCAGCTGACTCTGCGCATTGTCGAACAATCTCTTGTGCACATCTCGCCGAAGTTCGGGCAGCTGCTGGAGTGGACCAAGAAATTCGGCGCCTAGTTGTAAAGCCATGGTATAGAAGTTCTCGGCGATGGACTCCGCCAACATTTCCTTCATGGCAACGTAGGCATCCAACGCCGATCCCTCTTCCTGGTACACGATCTTTGCCAGAGCCCAGCTCTCTTCAAAGTGCCAAGGGCGAGTTTGTCGCACCTTAACCACGATGAGGTCCAAGAAATCCTCGAGCACAAGTCGATCTGCAATGGGCCATGCAGCAGCACACTCGACAAACACATCGTCACGATTGCTTTCGTCGACAGATGTATGACCAAATGTTCCTGTGGAAAGGAATTCTGCAACGTAGCGGAAGTCTTCCGGATCGAATTGCCTGAAACACGGTAGATCAAGTTGTGGTGTACCGTCTTCTGCGGTGGTCATGCATCCAATCTGTGCATGGGATAGAGAGGGCCGTTTTTCGATTTCGGCCTTTGGTACGAGGAATTCCTGCTCTTGTTCTCCTTCTCCGACGTGAATTTTAACCATTTCCGTGCTCTTGGCCCTGGGATACACAAATTAGAAATGTCAGGCACACGCTAATTCAAGTTCACGTACAGATCGCCATCAACATAGTCTCTATTTTCCGGTTTGCGTCGCGTTGAGGTTGAGCCAGTAATCTCTAAGCCCTCCGCATCATATCTGGGCATAGGCGTGAAATGCGTCCTTATATCCCCGGGCCTCGGAGTGGAGCATGAAGCCGACACTACTCTAGCTCTTTTCATCTGTTTGGGCGGAAAACTTGTGTCTGAAGGTCTCTTGTGTGTGTTTACCCGAACTTCCGCCAAGCTCAACCTTATCGCTTCTTGAAGGTACTCGTCATCCGATTCCTCTTTGGGATCCGGTTCACTGCTTGTCGAAGGTGATGGCAGGTAGCCAGAGTCGGGGCCGGATTTGTGCTGTTGCTCAGTGACGGCCGTCCAGTACTCCAGAGTCGAGGCTGGGCTGTCCATTTCCTCCAACACTGCGTTGTATGCATGTTGCAATTCAGGATTCCCCTCCTGAACTGCTCCAAATGGATCGTACTCTATCATATCGGAAGTTGTTGCATAGACGCTATCATTGTTAGATACTTCGTCCCGACGATCGCGCCGATGACTTTTTAAGGCCACTCACAATTCGGGCTTCTTCGTGATCAAGAGGAGTAGGGTATTAAAGGTCATCGGTATCTTGCCAGTAACCTTCGGCGGCGCCATATCATCTGGACAGACTAGGGCGGGCCATGGCGGTACACCCATGCGCCGTAGTAGGACATACGTCCCTGGTGCCGCATGTCGTTGCATTTGTGGACCTTCAGAAGTATCAGGTTTAGAGGGGAGTGTAGTCGATGAACTCAGAAAGCTCCCCATTGGTATCTTCGAAGAGAGCAGAGAAGGAAGACGCTGAACAGTCTGAAAGGCATATTGATCACGCTATGAAGGGCGAGCTGCTAGTAAAGGTGAGAGTAGTTTGCAAACATTGCAAACGCAAGGTGAGGGAAATCTACCCCACCTTCATGAACCACGAGTAAGAGTTGCATCCTGAAGGTCGTAAGTAACAATCTACAAATCTCGCAGAAGGACGGTGCGGGGAAGAAGAGGCGCAATGGGAAAGTGCGACGTGGTGGAGGGAACGCACGGTCCACCATCCCGAACCATGGCCGAATTCCAGAACATCTGTTCACAAGCTCAGCTCCACGTACAACACGCCCACCGCCCCAAGGCTCCATAACCACGGGCGAAAGCTTGCCTCCGATTTATTAACGTATACCCGCGCGCCTTGAATCCCGTGATTCACACAGATCTTGCCCACTTCCACCGAATACCACCCTACACCCTCCATAGCGCGACCTCCGCTCTCCGCCGCAAAGATGTTGGGCCTCGGGAACATGCAGCCCCGACAACTAGCCACCCAGCTGCTCAACTTTGCGCTCGTCCTCTCTACCGCTTTCATGCTCTGGAAAGGGCTCTCCGTCGTCTCAGACTCGCCCTCACCCATCGTGGTCGTACTGTCAGGATCCATGGAGCCCGCATTCGAAAGAGGAGACCTGCTATTTCTGTGGAACCGGGGGATGGACACACAAGTGGGAGAGGTTGTCGTATATAACGTGAAGGGGAAGGACATCCCGATTGTGCACCGCGTGGTGCGGAGATTTGGCGGAGGGTAAGTCTACACTGCGCGCATGCTGGGGCAAGACTTGCAGAAGCCAGCTACGCTGTTTTGTTCAAGCTGCGGTCCCGTTGGGTATCAATTGAAGGGCATAGTGCTGACATTCTGCTACCAGGAAATCCCCTCTCCGCCTCCTCACAAAGGGTGACAACAATCTCGCAGATGACACTGAGCTCTACGCCGCCGGTCAAACTCACCTCAACCGCAAGGAGGACGTTATCGGCAGCGTCGTCGGCTTCATCCCTTTCGTTGGCTATGTCACGATCCTGCTGAGCGAATACCCGTGGCTAAAACAGGCCATGTTAGGCATAATGGGGTTGATGGTGGTGTTGCAGCGAGAATAGGGTTTTCGAGGCACCAGTCGTCGGTAGAGCACAGTGTGATGCCCGAGTTATCAAGCCGTTGTTCATAGCGTATCAAGACACCGCATAGAAGCTGCCAAACAGTAGCAAATTTAGCAAGATGCGTGTCCGCAGTCTTTGAAGCATGGCGTTCCGGGGCCTCGTCAAGTTATATGATCTACGAGAGTCAAGAGATATCTAAGTGTGTCAAATAAAAAGACACTGAATTCATATTCACTGTGTGACTCCACTTAGCTTCGAAGTGGCGGTTCGCTGCGTTTTCGTACTGCTTTATGTCGTAGCTTGGAGAAGCTGGGAAGGAGTGGCGGTGTTCACCTCAAGACCGCCAGCTAGCCAGACCTGACAAAAAAAAATGAAACAAATAAAAATGCCAAATGAAAGCTGCGTTGTAGGAGGATCGAACTCCTGACCCCCGCCTATACAGTTTTAGGACTGGGAAGGCGATATGCTAACCACTGCACCAACAACGCTTTTATTTTTTACGTATTTTGATGACAATTTCATCGGCTTCAAAATATATGTACACAGCCATAACACGTGGAAAGAGTGCGAATGTATGGGAGGCGGGTCTAAGCGGATATGCAGGAAAGAGCGGTATACAAGTGGTGCGGGTACCCGCGAGGCGGTCAGGGAAGGCGCGGAGACGAGGCGGCGCGGGCAAGCGCGCTGATCTCATCCTTCATAGCAAATGTCTACATGTATTTTTTGTCCTTGTTGTTGTTTTTGTGTGACGTGTTTTAATATGTCATTCGCGAGAATAAACCTACAGCGGGAGATGCTACGGTGGGAGTAGGGTATATTGATGTGCACCGCTGCAGGCTCTGTCCCAAGCCTCGTGTTGTGGAAGCGGCGCAGACAAATGGCAGATTGCTTCACACCAATTTTGAAAAGTTAAAGACACTGCATGCAAAGCGCAAATGGCACATGCTTGTTACTCTGACGTGGGACAAGCCCTCGCAGAATTTCTTAAGGACCCAAAATACGCCAAGCCATGAGCAAGTCTACGCCGAGACGCTCCTCTCACAAACACTTGCCACAACATCACTCGTGGCTGGACATAATCAAGAAGGTTTGGCAGCACATTTTCGTTCCGCAGATAACTAGTGTACATGGTATTCATGAGTCTCGTGATGTCTTCTACGCCCGAGGGGACCTGGACGCCCAAACATCAATGAGCAGCCTCATGCAAAAGCTTCCTGCGGAGGTCTTCTGAAAATCACCTGAGACGTAAAGAACTTCCCCGAAGGACTCCCTCGAATAAGACATAACAGATGGGAATTACACATGGGAAACCGATCGAATATCATCAACCCATGACACCAGCGGAGATCGATGAATACGTGTTCGATGGATGACGTGCAGGAAGGATGTTGTAGAACTTCAGAGGTTCGAGAGCTTACTCGGACTCCTCTTCCTCCTCCTCGGCGGCCGTCTGTACAGGTTAATTGCTGGACTATAGACGAGTGAGCACATGAACTTACGTTGTAGGCAGCCTTCTCCTCCTCATATCGCTTCTTGTCGGCGGCGGCCTTGGCCTCGTAAGGCTGGCGCTGCTTCTCGGTGAGAGTCTTCCACTTCTCACCAAGCATCTTGCCGACCTCGCCTACCTTCGTTAGACACTGCACACATAAATAATCAACGATGACTTACCGAACTTGATGCCGGGGTTCTCTTCGCGGACCTTGTCACGCTGGTCATTCGCAAAGAACATGTAGGCTGAGAGACCGCGCTTGGGTGCGTTGGGGTCTGCAATTGTCAGAAATCAATCAAAAGATTAGGAGACGCAGGTACTCACCCTTCTTCTTCTTGCCACCGTCGGCCTTTGCGGCCTTGCCCTTGCCGCGGGTGGACTTCTCCTTGGGCATATTGTAGAAGGAGGTAGTTTTCAAGCTGTCTGGAGGCGAGGTCAGAGGAGCTTCAGTCGAGGCAAAGCTGAATACAGGCGTAGAAAGTAAAGAAAAGGAAGAGTGGCGCCAATTTATATACGTATAAGGTGAGAATTTGGCGTAGGCTGCAAACGTGGAATCTGCTGGCGCAATGGGTGGTGACCAAGGCGCTGCACGCTGTCTGCGCGCGCGTGCAGCGCAAAACAAAACCGCGAGGGGCCGAAAGAATGCGCGAGAACAATTCAAACTAGAGGGGCTACTCACGGATGTCTTTGGAAAAGTAGAGAAATCTGCCTTTGACTAAGGTCTGCAGAGTGTCAGTGTTGTAGGCGCCGGAAGCTGGCGACGGCGACGATCAGGAAAATGGAACGCGATGACGCTCTGAAGATGCAAGAGGAGAAGCTGCAGAGAGCATTGTCGCGTGAAAACGCGTTAAAAAAAACGTGGTTGTGTTGCGCGCGCGATGCGGGTGTGGTGAAGTGCATGATGGGGATACGCGAACTCACCTAAGGCGTTGGGTGGGCGAAAGTCTGAGGTGACGATTTGTATGGGAGGTGGTGGGAAGCACTGTGAGAACAGCAGCGCAGGCAAAGAGCGGCCACGCTTTCTACTGGAAAACCCAGTTGGTACGTGCGCCTGCCGCTAGGAGACCTCTCGCCCTCATCATAACAGAGCACCCCTCACCAACAACGGCCAGCACGACTCACGCCGTTTTGGCAGCCTGTCCTACTATGCGTCCGGTAAAGCTGAGACGACGCGTCTTCGGGTTCTGCATCTGTCTCTCTCTTGTTTGCACAGTCTGCCTTGCCCTCTGCTCCTCCGTGCAGCTCCCGGTACATTCGGGCGTCGGGAGGGCGCCTCCATTCCTCGACTGGGCCCGGCGACCATGGTGCCTGGTGGTGCCTCGTTTCATGCAGGCAGTCGATAAAGCAACGTTATTCGCCTGCGCGAAATTGTCGCTCCAACTTGTCGCTCACTGCGTTACCGACACACGTCTGGCTGATCGGAGCGCTTTCCAGGAGCAAGACACCCCGCTGCATCCTCTCCCCTCCATGCACTCTGTGCTTGATCCGACCCCAAAAGCGCCTCGGCAGATGCACATGGCTAATGAGGCCATGCATGCACCTTTGTAGCGCGCTGCGACCAGACAAGCATCGCATAGTACCATTGTTGATGCTGCAAGCTGCCAGCTGCACGACATGAGACCGTGAAGCTCCAGTCCGACGGCCGCTTTCGTCTGTTTCGACTAAACCCTAAACAGTAACAGGCAATTGTCTGCCCAGCGATCGCGTTGCTCTGCTACATCAGGGCTATCAGTGTACCATGCATTGAGCATCAAGCGGAAACGTCGAAGTCGTTTGAGGTAGCAACTGAGCATGTCTACTAACTCTACTCATGCTGGGTGGTCCGCGGCAAGCACACGGCGTCAACACGGCTACTAATACGGCACTGTGTTAGTGCCCAAGCCCACACCCAATTCCACCTGCGATGGGTCACCGAGCCTCATTATTTAAAAGTCTCGAGCCGAAATTGATGCTCTACCAGAACGACCAGAGCACAATCATAGCGCCTATGTATTTCGCGTCCCATGTCTCGTGTAGCTCGCCTGGGCACTGAAGTTGCGGCCCCTGGGAGAGTCGAAAGACAGTCGACTGGAATGATATTGACGTGCAGTGCCGAGCATCATTATTTTGCAGCAATGCGCGCTGCTGTGGCTGATATTACTAATGAGTACAAGATCATTGCTAGGTATCGCAACATGATCGACTTCTAAGACGTCGTTCTGTCGACATGAATGATGCGCCACGTGCATTCCTCTCGTTTGCCACGATTTGATAAAATATTAGAAACCCCCTTTGACGAGAAATTGTCGTAGTGATATCAACCTGCAGCATACCCTGGCAAATCTTTGCTGGTATTCACGGAATTCTACCGTTTTTCTGTATCCAAACATCGGCGTCTTCTCCCCGCCCAATGCTGTATGCAGGCTCCTCGGCTGCGACCTGAATAAATGCGATGATATCACAACCCCGGCCAACCAGAGATTGCAATGGATATCTCTCGAACATAGATGTGCCCAAGCTCGAGCACCAATCAATCGATGATGTACCTTCCACGACCGTATTCCGCTTGTGCTACCACAAGGCGGGTCCAGTCATGGTTTGCCGTCATGTTCTTCTGCAGCTTCCGATGTAAAGATGTCTGTCCATATCCTCGAAGGCTGCGTCGGAACTTTCACTGCAAGCTAGACAACTCATCCATCCTCTTCATCGTCCATGACTAGTTCCCGCAACTCCTCATCGGCTGCCCAGTTGATTCCACTTCCCACGATCATGGCTGATAAAATGCCCTTCAGAATCTTCGCTCGTTGGCGTGACTGTTTGACTTTCTTGTCGGCCCTTTCTACTTGCTGGTGAAGTGAAGGGTCCCCGATGTCGTTGATTGACTGCGCTTTCAACTTTTCGGCTAAGTCTACGACGGCCCCGGAGAGCTCGCGGTTGTCCTTGTTGGCAGCGATGGTGGCTTGCTCGGCGGTACTCAGGGCGCGTGTTGTTGACGATAACCTGGAAGCTAGCAAGCCATGCAACATCGACACGGCATCATTTTCAGTGATCAAAGGTAACATGCGCCTATCGATGTTAGCTTGTATAATACTTCGGCGCTCGACAACCAACTTTTCAGCGGTATGCTGTTGACCGCCATGAACAGCTTTGAGGACGGGATCCATAACCAGAACATTGTGGGATATCCTGTTTCGTATCTCGAACTTCGCCTTGACTTCCATGGCCTCGCGCTCTGCTGTGATCAGATGCTCGTGTAAGACATCATCTGATAAAGCCGAAACGTCAGGCACGTCTACTATAGATGCGTTAGATGAATCATTCTTTGCTTTCACATGCAAAGTAAGAAAAGTACCTTGATCATGCGCTTCTATGAGGCTCTTTTCCAACTCAAGCTCCCGGAGCTGATCGTGGAGCTCCAACGCGAGCTGTTCTACATCTGAAAACGCGAACGCGTCACTGTACGGCGTTTGAAGGAGGTCGGCGTAGTCGTTTGGATACAACCTTTTTTCAGCACCATCCGTCATCGCAACATCGTTCGCACTCGCCATGGCAATACTCTAAGAGAAGATCAAGCACAATGTGAGAAGGTTCGATGTCCACGCGCGTCCTCAGTGATCCACAGTTGATGCAGGCTCGGTAGTCCGTGGGTCCTGATCCCTGCAGCCCACGCGCATCATCTTACCATTAGCGGTATCTTGTGCCTAACGCCGTGCTCACCCAGCACTCGAGCTTCCTTCCTCCTCCACGAGCTGATCAGGCAGAATCCTGTGCAGCCGGAGCGGTTTTTGGATGTCGCTGCAGATAGCTGTAGCTCATACGGGCCAGCGCTTCGACGCCGATCCCGTCGGCTTCAACTCGGTCGAGGCGCTGAAGCAGTGGATCGCAACCGTCGTAGACATTCCGCCCGAGCACCAAATCCTGCTGACGCCCCGGGGAAAACAAGTCAAGCTTCAAGCACTGTTGACAGAGGTACGGCACTGCTTGTAGATCATGAAGAATGTGCTGACATTGTGCCAGAAA